AATTTGATCTGAACGCATGTGTTTCACGTGGTGAACAATTTTCCTTTGAAAGCACTTCATTATGTGGAGTCCCTCTGCTTACCTGGTAGCAATGTCCACAGTGGCAGAATACAGGGCCGTTTTTGAGAAGTGACTGACAAACAACATAGAAACCAGACATTGGAGCGGTAAAAGGTGCTAGAAAGATTTGGTGAATGTCGTAGCAACGATGGGGCGTTTGTTTCAAGAAATGATGCAAGGGTTCGGACTGGAAATTGATCGTGGGTGAAAGGAAGTATTAACCACCGATGAAAGCTGACAAGAGGCGTCAGAAAAGTAGTTTTATCGGGTTCATAGTAGCTGCCCCGGAGGGTTTTTACGATAAAATCCCCTACGCCGCCTATAGCCTTGATAAGACCGTTATAACGCAAGTATTAGGTGTAACTTCTCAGCTTATTTTGTGCCTTACGAGGTTGATAGGTGGAACTATTTATTCAATATGGCCTAACGTTTCGACTGAATCGTCGTCATCAGAGGCCGACGGTTCCACCTTATGAGCGGCAGTGTCCGCTGCCACACAAGAGCGACAGTTAGTTGTAAATAGTTAGTTGTTGATAGTTAGTTGTGTGCGACAGTTATTTTTGCAACTAACTGCCGCTTCTTATGTGGCAGTGGACACTGCGTTTCTAAGTGGAACCATCGGCCTCAGATTGACAACGATTCATGTCGAAACAGTTAGGCCACTAATTGGATGAAGAGTTCCACCTAGTAACCTCGTAGAGACAAAGCAAAGTTAAAATACAGCATAAAAACGCCGACGTTCAAGAAGAGGAAGTCTGCCTCTCAATATTAGCACTTTTTTACTGAGACACCACTTGTACAAAAGCCGTATCAGCCTCGCTACAGCCAGCAGCTTCGCGTCGCGTTCGACGCGTTCGATCACGCAGGCTTTCGATTGCGTCGCCCGTTTGCTTTGATCGCGCTTAGATGGTGAAATTAAATGGACCGCTGAATCATGAAATATGTAGTGAATGCGTGAGTACACTATTACTAACATCAGAGCAAGCTGAGCAATGTCTAATGCAAGAAGGCTAGTCAGATGTACCTGACTGCTGTATGGCAAAATCGCGCTAAGACGACCGATGCTTCCGAACAACATCCCACCTTGTCAATTCGGATGCGACTGAATTTGAAAAACAACTCCCTTACTTTCTTGTGAAGAGCCCGCGCCTCCTTTGGCTTGTTCTCGGCTCTCAATATTCTACATTATTCTATTTAGAAGTCTATTTAGAGTCTATTTAAATTATATGTCGTATTCTGCAAAATCATGGGATGGGACTGTGATCTTAGCCACACTCGCTCAGACTCCTCCCTTTGCAATAAGGGTCACATGACTTCTGCACAGATCGTTCAGATCCTCACTCGAATGCGATTTCTTCTTGATTCTACCGAGAAGGCGTCACTCCTCTCGGTAGAATCTGCTGGTTCAATCTCGATCATCGTGCCACTTAAAGACAGCTCCCGCGATAAAAGTCTCATGGATAGCTGCTTTCCAATTATGAAACAGCAGCTGATAAGTAATCTCCCAAAGAAGAAAACAGGCAAGAAGCGTTCTCCAGAACAACATAAACAAAATCGCTCCCTCACAGTTACACCTCCCTGCGGTCTCTGTGCAGCCCCTAGCTCACAAGTCTCTCTATCACATCTCGCAGTAGTTGATATCATCCAGTGCAAAAGAAAGAATACAAAAAGAAAACAACAAAAACGCAGAGGAAAACTCTGGGAAGGAAAAAGGGAATTTTATCAACACGGTGTCTGAATTTGTGATTACGGTAGCGCACCTTTTGTGCGTCGTGGTTTTGCATCACGAAAATTGCGTCACTCGTGTTTTTTACGTTAACCTTGCGGTAAAGGCGTTGAATTGAAGTATATACCTCCAATGAGTAAACTGTAATGAAGGAGAGCAGAATTATCTAGGGCATTAGCAATGCCGCCGCCCAACTAAGAACAAGTGAGTGGCCTCCGTCGGAGGACATCTAGCAAGTAAAGGCGGTCCGACTGAGGAGGAGTTAGAACTAGCACTTTGAGCGGCTATAGCAGCCTTCACCTCACAATAGACCGCGAAAGTGGAAACAGTTCTAGCTGGAGCTTAACTTACTTGCACAGCAAAGGCGGACACGGCCACTTTTTGATCGTCGGGAGGCTGTCTTCAAAAAATATTCACGGTAGGAGCACGCTGCAGAGCCTATAGTCGTTGAAGTAGCCAGTCCATTCAACTGTTTACATTTGAGCAGTAGATTGCACAGACGCGCACCCAATCACACGCTTACGCGATTCGAACAATATCTTGCGCGATCGATCACGTCCGAACGCGAACTGAGCGCCGTCGCTAATTCTGTAACACTACTACCTTTCTTGCGCCCTCCTTTCAGTAGCAACAACATGTCGGATCGCTGAACAAACGTGTTTCACATCTTTGCGTCTATCAGGTCATTCACTCAAAAGCCCCGTGACAGAGTTTCTCTACGAAGAAAATAGTGAAAAGAAATTAAAAGACATTTCCGTTTATAAGACAATTGCCATTTCCTGCCCTCCCAAAAAACCCATGCGACAACATCTGGACATGTAGCCAGTTCCTTCTCGTGAAAAAAAGTAATACCTGTCATTCGACTATGACAGCTGCTTCTGATTAGACCAAAAAGCGTTGATGAACCGACCGACTAAATGTTCCGCAATTTTCTTTTAGTCCAAGCTACAAATATGACGATTACATGAAGTCTGTCACTGTAATGAGGAATGATTTCATCATGTGTTCAATGCTCGCATCACTTCATTGATCTAGTTGTGGAGGAACAGGCCGTCAACATCGAAAATGACAATTGCTTTTTTTCGACACAACACTCAAAGCAAAACCTGACATTTATCTCGCTAAAATCATCCGTTTAGACAAGTTATAGACCCGCTTAACTTCCCATGACATAATTTCGGCTACTCATCCGCATTCATTCAGAGCCGACATTTGTGACTCCCAGGTTCGATAACATAAAAGGCACCCGTTCCCACGTCCGCAGCCGTAGATGATGTCTCAAGGGAGCACATTGTCTCTGCGCAGGCAGCAGGTTCTGAGTTTGTGCCTTTGTAAAGGAACGAAGCACTCAGACCACACCTTTCCGACAACCCTTTTTCGAACGTAACTCAGCCAACGAACGATTGCAGTAGGAATGTTTTCTCAGTGAGTACGACAATGGTTCATTCTCTGTAATGAGACGTACCAACGCTTGATTTTTCTTGTGCACTTTTCGCTTTTCTGTGTGGAGTGGGTGTTGTAAGGCCTTCGACTTTTTCGATTTTCCTTTTTTGGACTTTCGCATACACTTTTCCACATTCCGTATTTAGAACACAATAGGCTGCATTCATACTTTGCGGCAGCGTCCACCAACGCCCAGCAGCGTTCAGGACTGGAGAGTATGAGGCGATGAGAGAGACAGCTGCTATCCTCCCATCACCTCGCACTCTCTGCCAGCTGTCTGTATCTTCCTATTGCCCCATACCCTCCACAGGCAGTCTGCTACCCTACTATTTCCCCTTCCTCTACCAGTGTCTGCGAATCTCCGATCGCCCCATGCTCTCCACTCCTGGACGTTGCTGGTCGCTGGTGGACGCTGGTGGACGCTTCTGGTCGCTAGATCGATACCTATGTAGCTAAGGCTACGTGATCTGCGCAGGCACATCAATGTACTCAGGAGGTGGTCTTTCAGATCGTAGAGCAGACTATTATTCTATCTACGGTAGGGTATATAAAGAGTAGTTGACTACTAGGTTTCTTACAGTTGTACGCCGCAATCAACCTATCGACGCCTACAGCTCTCAACAAAGGCCCCACGGTGGGCGCCCTCAATGCAACCAATTTCCTGCTCTAGCGTTTTGAGAAAACTTGTTAAGAAGCATTTTCAGGGTGGCCAATTGAGAGGTCATAATTGCCAATGTTGTCCAATATTGAAATGTTGACCCATAGAAAGTTTGCTTTTAGAAAAGAAAAATTAAATCCGTTATTGCAAAAAAATTGCGTTCAATTTATACCCGACAGTGAAGAGAAAAAACCGCTCAGTGGTATTATCAATACCACTGAGCGGTTTTTTCTCTTCAGCTGTCGGATTAGGGTGTTGATCTCCACACTTATTGGCCACGTAATGATTTGACTGTATACAGAACAAAGCGATAGTAACTTAGCTTTTTTACTCACAGAACATGTGTGATAAGGAACTACGTGCGAGGCATCGCTACTCGCTTTAATCCAGAGCGCAAGGCGTCCACCGTGGAGGTCCTTATTGCATGAGGTGTTGGCGCGCGATAAAGCGGCTTGATTGCGGGCGTACAACTGTAACAAACCTAGTAGTCAACTACTTTTTATATACCCTACCTAGATAGAATAATAGTCTGCTCTACGATGTGAAGGACCACCTACTGAGTACACTGATCTGCCTGCGCAGATCACGTAACCTTAGCTACAACCTATACTTCCTCAGCCCTAGAGACGCTGCTGGTCGCTGGTGGACGCTGGTAGACGCCGCTGGTCGCTAGATCGATATCTAGATTTCCTAAGCTATCGGGACGCTGGTGGGCGCTAGTAGACGACGCTGATCACTAGAACGATATTATACTTTCTTAGACGCTGACGCTGCCAGACGCTTGGAATGTTGGTGAACGCTTTTGCAAAGTGTGAATGCAGACACCACAGATCTCTTGTGTCCAGCTCGCGCTGTTAATTGGCAGCTTCACTTTCTTTGGGCTGAGTGTCCGATTTGATGACCAGGAGCTAGTTTTGATCACTCAGGGTTCCTTTCTGTTCCCCAATTTTTTCTGTGGCCATCTTGGACAGGTTTGATGACTACGTAGTAACATATACTAGCTTCCAGACAGCATGGAAGCTCCAGCTCCGTGGCAGGAATGCCATTACGTTGTACAACCTTAACTTTGCTTTAATATGCACAGATAGTCGATTGTGAGAGAGTCATAATATCATGCTCACTTACCCGCTAGAACGATTCTATTTTCGCTGTGCTCTACAGGGAGCTGGTTTGAGGGAACGATCCCCGTTGAAAGCACCTGGTCGCAAACGGGTTGGAGTTCCATTACGCAGTCTATTTCTTATTTATATTGTCTTCTTGCTTCTCAGGCCCCGAAAGTCGAACCGAAAAAGGACAAACCGAAAAGTATCCGGAGTCAAAAGGCTCCGAAGAAAAAAGCTAAGGCCAGTCAAATAAAAGCAAAGGTTTGTTCTATTCTTTTAATGTCTTTTGGATGAATTCCTACGTAAAAGCTGAGCGAAAAGCAAACTCCACATTCACCTTCATCACTTGTGCGCTCGTCGGGCACGTCGTACGTTGGGAAACCACAACGATGAGGTGGTCGTATTTATTCGGTGGAGATGGGGGGAGGGGAGGGAGGGGGGGGGGAGCTTTGAGTGGACTTTTCGTGGGTTTCTGTCTCTGAAATCTGCCATCCCCTCCTCCCTCCGCAAGCGGTAGAGCTAAGAACTAGGAACATTCAGGAAGATGGTGGGTAGGATGAGCGAAGGAGGTTGTTCCAGAGCTCGTGCAGGTAGTGGGGCCGACTGGGTACTAGACCAATAGCCTCGAATGCTTTCGGGCGGGTCGGCGCGGTGCACGCGAATTGTTGTACAATTTCTTCACTACAGAGCAGCTAATAGCTGCTGACTCATGTGCGGAACAAGTTGAGAAGTTTTCTTTGTCCATTACCAATGGAGTCATCTCTATAGCGCGGTGTACGCTTTCTTAAAAGTGTGCGCCATTCGTGAAGGGAGTGAGGTGCTCCTGTCCGCATCGGACTGATCATCCCAATCCTGCCCTTCGAAAGAGCGTTGAAATGACATAGAGGAGTGGTAGTGTAGACAGGTCCCAACCATAGTACGAAAGTTCCGAACTCCGAGTTCCCGAGTTTGTCTAGTGTCATTGCGCGATTCAGCTTTTGTGTTGACTTGCACATAGTGCGCGGAAATTCACGAAACCGCTCCACAATACGTCTGTCCGTATCTGCGAGTGATGGCCCGTGTTTGTGGAAGTAGGAAACAGTGCGAAGTGGGTATCGTTTTTGATACAACTTCCAGCCGTTTTCCTTTGGACAGCCCCATCAGACTTCTTCTTGTATGACGTAAAGTCGTACCTCGTCAAGCGTATGAGGGGCACTCAAATAAGGCGTCAGGTTTTGTTCGCTGTTTTCTTCACAAGTGTTCCAATTGGCATCTTATGGCTCGTATAATGGTGTCATATCCTCATCTCGCCAGTTTCCCCCGTTCCCCGTGCCTCCAGGAGACGAATCAAATTGAAAATCGTGAACACATAAGCAAGAACGTTGGGTCCTTTCCACCATTAAAATCTGACAAATCACAGCACTTAAATTGATCATATTGAAGCTCATAATCTATCTCAGGATGCAGCGGATAAAGCAGCTACCAAACCAGAGGCAAATGAAAAACCGGCCTCTGCTAGCAATGCCGCAAAGGACAAACCGTTTGCTGCCGGCAAGGGTGTGCTCATAATTTCGTCGCTTTGAATTCTACGCTTGTGTGAAATTATTACGTTCATTTTGGTTTTGGGCTTATTACTGTCTTAATTACTCTCGAGTGTTTTAGATAACAAATCAACAGAACAAGGTGAAGGTGAAGCACAACGATCGGAGGTATCGGATGAGAGTTCAAGCGAGGCTTCGGAAGATATTATTGTTTATGAGACCCCCGAAAATCAGAGTTATGAACGAAGAGTGAGTGGTAGATATTAATGCAAGCTTTCCTTCTTACAGTGGACTTGAGTACTGTAAGTGTAACTTCGAGTGTAACTTGTAGTGAGGTGCCGTGATTGAAGGAGAGTGCTCAAAAGACGATCATGATGCTCATCTCCCTCGAAAGCAATTACTTAAGCGTCAGTTCGATAATGTGCTGTTGCATCCAGCTCAGCAAGAGCTCGCGTCGAACTGTTGACCATGACCGCGGGACATGTAGTCTACAACGCTTGCAGTAACTGTACATATTGATTGTAGAGTAGTGTCGCTCCTCCACTGGAGGCACACTTTACGGTCAAAGGACGTTTTTAGTTGGGGTCAAGGATGCGGCGTGATGTAGCGGACCACCGCGGACACGTCCTTCGCAGTCGGCCAATTGCAAATGGTATGGTTACAATCGACGCGCGGCTCGCGATGCGCTTTTTATTGAGAGCAGCGATAGTTGCTGTGCTATTTTTTTCAAGGACGTCTGTCAATATTTTCACAATACGACAGCAGGGTGCAGTCTTTGACAGTATTGTGCAGGAGGGCGTTGTGAAAGGTGACTAGGAAGCAGCAGGTGAACCAAAGCAACTCGCGAGCAGAATTGCTGCTGGTTTCTCTTCACTATAATTGCTAAGTAATCACTCTAGTTGCAAGTAAAACAAAATTTGAGGATGAATGACAATCGAGGTCCTACCAGAGTGAAGGGCGTGGCTGAAAACTGAAGCAAACAAACAGTTCATTGACGCAATGAGATTATCGCGAGTGTGCGCTCCATTGCAACCACGCGGTGGTTACTGATTGCCGCGCACGCGACGTCGCGTGTTTCTGAAGACCGTTCCCCGGGGTTAATATGTGAACCTGTAGGTCTAAGTAAATTGAAAACTAGTGAAGAAAAATGAGTGAGCGCAAAAGTTCCGAGTGAGGTCTCCCTTTTTGGGGACGATTTTTTGCAGCGTGCGAGAATACAGCGAAGGAACACTGAGAGAGCGGAGACGAGAGACCAGACGGCAGACTACGTGGATAAGCGAGGCCCGTCATTTCCGTGCGGCAGTCACATGGGTCGTCAGCGACAATACGGAGGCACTCATGACTTTCAAAGCGATTGGCACTCATGACTTTCAAAGCGAAGCTCTAAAGCGGCGAAACTAGCCACATTAGACAAGCACGGAATAGCTCAGCTCACCTTTGAGAAACCTGCTCCTTGCCAGGTGCGAGGTGAACGAATCCGCAGCTAGATTGGTGCCCCTCTCCTGTGCGCGAAAATGAAGCTGGGAAGTGTGGTAGACGGATGTTCAGTGGAGCTCCACCCGCAGGCACATACAGCACGTTCCACCACTCAACCAGCCATATGCCTTTATATGGCCAGTCGAACCAATTCTTAACTGTAACCTCTCACGTTTGGTTTCCTACACTTTGCCAGGATAGGGAGCCTGGCCCATGTTGTTCGCTGCGGGAAATGGCATCGATGCACGTGCTGCCCGCTGGGACGTATGATGGATCCCAAAAGACATCCTCAGCAGCAGTCTCGCTCTCGCAACTTTGACGGACGGAAGAGGCATAATCTCATAGCTGCTGGCCCCGCATACCACCCACAGGGCATGAGTCCTGTGCTCGACGCAGTCTTTCCGCGCACACTCAAAAATCCAAATCTGAAGTGGTGTCACGTACGCTGGTCGATTTAGGTAATCATCGGCCTCCTCAGTCGTGTCGGCTTTCGCGAACAGTTCTGGCATAACAAAATCCAGTCCTA